ATCGTGGAAAAGAAAATTTTATTTTATGCGATTAATACGAAGTAGTTAGTAACCAACAAAAATGGTATTTTTGTCGATAAAACAGACGGCTTTAGCATCCTCTTAATTCGGCTTGATATTTTAAAATGTTTATTAATGTAAATATCTTATTAAATTACTTATCAATTTTTTAATTATATATATATATATATACATTATAAATATATATATATATAAATTTACTCTGAAATATTAAGCATAAAAGCTCTAGCTCATATCGAAAAAGCATTTCTTTTCTTAGTTGTATTTTTATATATAGTATCATTGCTTTTAATATTTAAACAAAAAATTGCATTTTAAATCATTTAGACAGATCCTTGTTTCAGCATTAAAAAAGTAACGAAAAAGTTACAATAATGAGTTACTTTTAAAAATCAGTAACTAGTAACGGTAATTAGTTACTTTATTTAACTCTGTAATGAGTAACTATCATAAATTAATTTTAAAAAATGATAAAAAAAACACCTATCATATAAATAAGACAGGAAATACTCACGTAGAATCAGGACTGAATTTACAACGGAGGGCATAGCGTTTATGAGCTAAAAGTTTGTGACGAGGATTAAGTTTTGTAGGTTCCTCTCCAATGCCTCCTAAAAGGGTCCAAATATAACAATGTCCTTTGTTATTTACTGCTGCCATGTAAGTGCCATCTTGATCTATTGTAATATCTTGAATCGAAGATTCAGCTTCGGGAATCTATATGATAAAAATATTTAAATTGTAAGAAAACATCAAGATTTCTATTATGTCTACAATTTTCAAGCATTTCTTTTATTATATTCTCAATAAATTTCTTACATATAATTCATTATGTATTATTTACATAAATATTTTAATATTTAATATAAATGTATAATAGAAAAATAAAATCTTAAATCTTTCACGATTCTAAAAATAAATCTATATCTTAAAAATAAATGTAAAATTTTAAAATATAAAGAAATAACATACTAATTGTTCATTGTGATCGGAACGAAGATCCCATAAATGTATGACTCCACTTTGATCGCCAACAATTAGTTCTGCTTGATTGGGATGTAAACACACACAATTTACAGGTGCAGACACTTGAAATATTCTTTGGCATTGAAAACTGCTAGATCTGTCGTAAAATTTAGTATTATTAATTTGCAAATACAAATCATTTTTATTTCTGTATATGATTTACCTCAAATCCCATACTCTTGCAGAACAATCTTCTCCTCCTGTATACATCCATTTTCCTTCTTCCTTTTTGTAAAAAATACATGTAATATTATTATAAAATGTAACAATATTGTTGACATGATTAGATATATCAAATTAATTATATATATATATATATATATATATATATATATATAAAAGTTGTATACAGGGGCTTTAGTATATAAAAACGAAGAAAAATGCTTAATAAACTTTTGTCCAATTTCAAACAATGTACATATAATGATAATATTTAATATTATTAAAAAACCTGAAAACCTAAACTGGTGATATTTTTTGATACTCCTTCATAGTTGATAACTGGATTAGGATTATTTGAAGCTAGATCATACATCCGTATATGCTGATATCCAGCAGCAGCTACAACATACTTGTCTGGTGTGATATCCAATGCATTGACTTGCTGTAAAATTTGTTAAGATTTGCTCAAAGAAAGCTTCAAAATTTTTTATTAATAATTGAAATATGTAAAATTGAGAACTTTCTCTATAAAGCAATAATATAAAATTGTTATTTTTATCGATGTCGTGTACATAAAGATTTTTTAATAATGTATCTATCTAATATAATAATGTATCTATTTAATATAACTAGAATAAAAACAATACATAAAAAATATTATCTTTTAAATGTAGTAAAGGATACAGAATCCGTATGTTGACACGTTCGTTGACAAACACCCGTATGCGGTTGCCATATTTTGATGGTATGATCATAACCTCCCGTAACAAAAATTACTTGTTCATTACTAATTGCACAATCAGTAGTCATTCTTGATTTATTTATGATCTCCTAAATTTACAAAATTAAATCATTTAATTATAATGTTATTTCAAGCAAATTTACTATAATAAAATTAAAATACTATTATATTTACTATTATTTACGTTCGTACACTGTTTTCTATACCTGAACTAATGTACTTTTTGCACTTCAAGTGAAATAGGTATGTTGATATTTGGCAAAAGGGAGAAAAAGTTTTAGTGCGGTAGTCTAATGTAAGAATAGAAAATAAACTTAACATTTATATTCTTTTTTTTTCATAAGCATCAACACTGCCCAAAGAGAATATATACACACTGATACACATAGAGAGCCTCTAATCAGAGTGGCGCCATATGAGAAGCGACGCCATTTTCTTGCCAAATCGCGCGACAGAGAGAGATATAATATATCTTCGTTTATCCAACA